GTAATGTAGACACATGCATTTTCTGTAAAGCTGCTTTGAGAAGTTAGTGTTCTCTAAATAAGGGCATAAAGGGCAAAAGCAGCAGCAGTGCACTGATCCTAGGCTTGGTTGACATCACCTCTTCATCTTCAAAGACAATCAACACATCCAGTGGGTTCCCTCGTGACATTTCCTCTTCCTCCTCAACAGCAATGATGGGGACTACTGCCTTCTGCACTTGCTCAGGCTCCTTTTTCTAAATGCATCAAAAAAGTGTTAGTATATGTCGCAACAAATCATAAAATTAACCCTTGTGTGGAAAGACATATTTAAATGTTCATAAATGAAAATAAAGGTGTGAAGGATCAGAGTAGTGTTTATTCAGTAGGACCTGTGCCCATTTAAAACCCTGTAGTACTCTTCAAAAACTTGTAATTTTCACAACATGTCTTCCAGAGCTGTTGGTCAACTGGATTTAATTGGGAAAAACTTTCAGGGGTGTTTTTATTAATAAAACATCCAAATAAATATAATTTAATAAATATAAATAATAAATCAACACACCTTTTATACAAAGCCAAAGCAACTTTAAGATAAGTGCAAGTGGAAATAACACAAAATACCTTTTTTTTTTTTTGGTAATCCATATTAAGAAAGCCTAATATAACTAGAACTTTCAAGACCCAACTCATATTCCTCTGAAGCATAATGACTCTGAATCAAAAGCAAACTGAAATTTAATGTTATTCATTCTGCCAATACAGTCTGAATCAAAAATGGTGGCACACTACATTACTTCAAACATCCCTGATCCTGGATATCACGATGTCAGTCATGTGGTGTGAAAGAACCACACTGTAAATAATGATACGATGAAAAAGCCACGACAACTTATGTTAAGTTACTTTAACTCATAATTATTTAAGCAATTTCAACTTTTTTTTATAAGTTATACTAGATTCAACTTGATTTTTAAAGTCAGTTTAATGTTACTGAAATTCAAGGAGCCCAATTTAGTTCAGTGAACTTAACATTTTAAGTTGTAGCTTATTGGCTCTAACCGGCCAGATCTCTGAATATGGATTCATGCGCAGGAGTCAAATTTGTACATGAATTTAATATCAGAGTCCTTTCCAAGAAAAACAAATATTCAGCAAATCTAGACATTAGACTCATGTTTAATACATAAAGACAATCGCAGTGCAACATCAAACAAGGAGACACTGGCAGACTATACAGCGAACTAAATAAATCACGGAGGAATTTCAGACGAACAACTCATAAACTTGAGGAAGCTGTCGTTGGGCTGCGCGAAGAAGCATATTCAGCGTGGATGAGGTGAGTGGATTTTTGGGAGATTATTGTTCATTTTAGCAGAATAGAGCAGAATTAGTTATGTTCTGTCATTGTTTTTCGAACTGTTTACCTTTCAAGTTTTGTATTTCTGATACGGTGGCCGCTGTGCTGTATTAGCACTGCAGATTGTAATGTAACGTTTGAGATTTGACACATATTTGTTTCTCCAGCTGTTAAACATGAGCGGTTATATTTTACCGTTAAAGTGGGTAACGTACCAGTTGGCTTTGCTGAGCAGGCTCGGCATTTTCGCGCCCACTGGAAGTTTATCTCAGTCAGGCTTTGTGCGTTTGAGTTGGTATTCGTTACTGAGTAAAGTTAAGCGTTTAAAATTATTATTATTTTTTTTTTTATCAGCCGTTCAAGCTAGGATCATATACGTAAACAGTTTTGTCAGTTTGTTCTATTCACACTAACTTAGATGAACGTATGAAACTTCTTAATATGATTTAAGAGACCACGATTCAAACAATTGTTAACCTTGTTCATTTGGGACTACTTTTTTAGAAAGACGTTTTTGTCAGCCGAACAAGCGACATGTTAAACGTTACATTCAGTTGGACGGACTGTAGGCCTAACGTTACATCTGATCCTCACAAGCTCGTTTTCTGTGCCATTTGTTATTTTATTGGCCATCGTCATATATAATGTTGTTTTACTATAGCTAATTGCTTAATAGTAACAGATTACAGGTAACAGTAAATGCATTATGTTGTATGAATCGGTCATATTTTAATCATGAACAAAAAGTCTGTAAAAGTGTTCATCTTTGGGCAAGTAACCAACAATTCCCCGTTTACCTCCCTTTGTAGGCTATGACTGAGCACATTACAGTGAGGATCACCGTCCATCTTAATTTTTTTAGGCAACTCAGGTTATTAAAAGGTTATGAGGCTGTTGTATAGGAAATGTCTTTGCTTGTGTGTGTTGTTTACAAGTACATTTAAGTTGAATTATTTATTTATTTTTTACAGGCACACGCTTGTGAGTCTGAGACTGGATGAAGGGTGAGTTTTGCATTTATGTACTAAATAAAGACTATAAACCATATCTTAAGAAGTCAATATTTGAACCACTTTCAAGTTTTTTCCCCCCATTTTTTATGTTTTTCTCTGTGAGTCTGAGACTTGATGAAGGGTAAGTTTTGCATTTATGTACTAAATAAAGACTATAAACCATATCTTAAGATAAGCCAACATTTCAACGACTTCTGATTTTTCCCCCTACATTTCTGTCATTAGATCATTAGACAGCTGAGTTCGATAGGTGTCTGGGTCATAAGGTGGAAGATGTAGGAGCGAGGAAACGATTTCGCTGCGATTGGAGATGCAGATCCACCGGTCAGTGTGGTTTGGCCTGTTAAACGGATAGTTCACCCAAAAAGGAAAATTCTGTCGTTAATTACTCACTCTCATCTCGTTTCACACCTTTAAGACATTTGTTCATCTTCAGAACACAAACAAAAATATTTTTGATGAAATACGAGGGCTTTCTGTTCCTCCATTGGCAGCAACGCAACTAAAACATTCAAGGTCCAGAACGGTAGGAAAGACATCATTAAAGTAATCCATGGGACTCATGTGCTTTAACCTCAATTTTATGAAGCAACACGAGTGCTGTTTGTCCAAAAATTTTTATTTACAATAAAATATTCAAAGCTTGTTCATGCTACAATGTTAACTCTAGCATGAACACAACATACATGCGTCATGATGCTCTTATGAGCGTGTGTGGCAGATCAATATTTATAGAAAATAAAGTGGTAAAATGTTTTTTGCACAAACAAAGCATGTGCATTGCTTCATAAAATTGAGGTTAAAGCACAGGAGTCACATGGATTACTTTAATGATGTCTTTCTACTGTTCTGGACCTTGAATGTTTTAGTTGCGTTGCTGCCAATGGAGGGTCAGAAAGCTCTCGAATTTCATCAAAAATATCCTCATTTGTGTCCTGAAGATGAACAAAGGTCTTATGGGTTTGAAATTATATGAGCGTGAGTAATTGATGACAGAATTTTCATTTTTGGTTGAACAAACCCTTTATGACATTGTAGGTGTATTTACACAGTTTTTGTTTTGTCCGTTGCCACCTCATCGCTTACATTTGTTGTCGTCAGAAAGCCAAACCTCTCTCACACCTCATCAGAAATCTACCCTGCCACTGCCGCCATCATGTTTGCTACTATTTATTAACTTGGCGAAATGTTTGCTGCTATAGTGCTTGTAAAGCACGGTCACAGTATACAGTTTCAGCAGCCCTTGGTGTTTAAAACGCAAATCTTGATTTGTTTAACATCTCAATCAACTTGCAGCACATATTTGCATCGATTTTCAACCGACTTTGAGTACATTATTACATTCCTATTACTCACAAAAGCCGCATAGGGAAACTTTAAACCAGAGGTGTCTAAAACCGGTCCTGGATGTCCACTCTTCTGCAGAATTTAGCTACAACTTACCTGGAAGTTTCTGGTATGCCTAGGAATACCTTAGTTAAATCCTTATTTCATTAAGGATGGAGCTAAACTCTGCAGGACAGTGACCCTCAGAGCAGGATTCGACACCCCTGCTTTAAAGGGGTCCTATTATGCTTTTTCACTTTTTTAGTATTAGTCTGTGTAGTGTGTATGTTTGGGCATAAAAAAGATCTAGAAAGTTACAAATCTCAAAGTCCACTCCAAAGGGAGATATTTAGTTTTTGAAAAATCCATTTTCAAGAACTACAGCAAACGGCTCGTTTGTACTACAGCGTTTGGTTTCCGGGCTTTGATAATCACAAAGCGGCTCATTAGAATTTCATTACAAATAATTCCCGCCTACAGAAATTCGAATGGTTGGGGGGTTGGGGGGTGGAGAGGGGCGCGGTTGTGGTTAGAACGCTTGGTTGAGTGAGCGCAGTATCAGCGCATCAGACGAGACGACGAAGAAGAGCAGCTGCTGTGCTGTAGCCTCAATTTTGGCAGGTCTAGAACAGCGGTTCTCATTTCCAGTCCTCGCGTACCCCCGCTCTGTACATTTTGTGTGTTTCTCTTATTGCTTCATACGTTTGTTATATTTGACTGTAAGTGCCCTGCGAAGTGGACATTACCGGATATTCCGCCATGATTCCAGTTTGAAGGGAGCGTATTGTCTGTCTCCAACTGAGAAAAGCACACACACACCAAAAATGATATATGTTTTTTATTTTCCCACTGACAAACTGTGGTGTAAAACACTGTATATTTAACACTTGCCGTTGATAACTTTGATGTAATGTCGTGTTAATTCCTCTTTGCTAGCTTATACATTAGTGTTGCCGAGCAGGTTAATCTTCAAATAATAAGATACGACAATAAATCATAAACGTTACCTGTTCTTTTTCGTGACTCTTCTTTGAGTCTCAGCTCAGCTGTGATTGGACGGGCTGACGTCACGGGACTGACTAGATAACGGGCGCGGCTTTTGAATCTTATATAATGGTGTTAAATCAAAAGGAATTGTTTAAATAAAGTGAACAGCATTACATTGGTTTTTCTCAGTGAGCAGTGTTCGTTATCATTCCTGTAATAACACGACTCTTTAAAAGAGGATCAATTCTGTTGTACAGTTAAGTGATGGAGCATTCTGTGAAATTATGACCCTGATCGCTTTCAAGTGTGAGGATGGGGCATCTTCTGCATCCACCACAAACAGATTGTTTTAGCTAAAGAGCTTGCGTGGAGGAACATTTTTTTAAGAGATGTTCAGCTAAATATATCCTCAACATTTATACAGTGTCTCTTAATGTATTTGCTGTCCATCCTCAATCACTCAAGTGTAAATGTGTAATTATTGGGTCTAAAGACAAACTGTATGTCATTCCACTTACAAACAATATTGAAAGAGACCAAAAACTGATTCCTGGGGAACTACTTCTGCAGCTTTATACAGATATTAATGCCAATTGTTGTTTTTCAGCTTTATTTCTCCATACAATTTATAATGATGTGTTAATAATGCAATGATATAATATTTAGCAGAGTGAGTGAACTTCAGTTTTTGGCCATGCAATATAGACTGTTTACTTGACTGTACACTTTATAATGCATTCGTTTATTTATTTGTGTTATTACTTTCTGAAAACACTGTCCAATTAATGAAGTGAATTCCAAGCATGAAGAAGTAAACTTAAAATGTACTCAAAAATCTGACTTAAAATATACTACAACTTCAGGTTATTTAATAATGTACTTT